TTTGTAAGATTTCTACAATCCTCTTTTTTGACGAGAAATGATCCCCACGTGCCTTAGAGTGATAAAATTTAATGAAATTACTTACCTCATTGTCGAGAATACATTTTTGAAATATTTGATCAGGACAATAATTGAATAAGGGTTATCCCAATAAAAATTTTGCACGTTGCTCAAAAATTTTCTTTTGTCTTCGGTACTCTAGTGAGCTAGAAAAAATCTTGAAGTAAGAAAATTGATATTTTTAGCAAACCAAGGCATTAAACTAAGAGAAAGTAGAGATTCATCAGGAAAGTAATCATCGATTGGTGTGATGTCGGGTGTCGAATCTATTGTCACCTTTGATAAAATATTCGCATCAATATTTTCGGTGCCTTTTTCATCCTTGATTTCTTCCTGGTTGGTCATGGCATGAGAAAATGAAAGTTTTGGAGGGGAATCAGTCTATTCTTTGCAATGTTCATATTCAACCCCTTCCTTACCCTTAGAGATTGACTCATCATCTTTCTCACAAGGTTCAAGAATTGATTTTTGAATAACCTTACCACTACAAAGAGTGATAACTGATTTGACTTGATCCATGTGTTCACTTCGAGGACTACTTGAATTTGCATTGTATTGCCCCTTGAGATTTTGTTATGGTTAAGATGGAAACTTACCTTTCTCTTGAAAACTAAGAGCAGATGTGAATTTTGCAAAAGTATCTTTAAAATTTGTTATGTTTTGAGCAAGTTGAGTGTTGATTGTCTCTTACTTTTCAATAAATGCATACAAAGTTTTCTCAAAGTTTCTTATAGGAGGTAGAGCATAAGGAGGTGCATATCCATAAGAATTTTAAAAATTGTGGTGTACTTGAAACGGTGGTTGTGAAGTTTATACATTGTTATTATCACTCTTCCAACTGAAATTTAGGTGATTTCTCCAACCAGGGTTGTATGTTTGTGAGTATGGGTTATGGTTAGCCCTTTGGAAACTGTTTAAAGTATGGGCTTGTTCATGGAGACATTCCTTAAAAGAAGGCAAGGTTGGACAGTTACTGGTTAAATGTTCATTTGTTTCATATATTTGACACACAAAGTTTTCAACAGATTTTAATTGACCACTCTTTTTCAATTCTAATGCCGAGAGTTTTCTAGCTAAAGATGCAAACTTGGCTCAGAGGTCATGATCTTCCCTAAGGTTGTACATACCTCCACTAGATGTATGAGGTTGAGTTTTACTTGGTGCCTCATAAGTACTTGCGGTGTCCCAATTTTGAGCATTTTCAGCTAACAAGTCTAAGTACTCCATTGTTTCATCAAGGTCTTTATCTTCAAAAGTTCCATTACATATCAATTCAACCATTTGCATATCTCTAGGTGTTAACCCTTTATAAAAATATGAAACGAATCTTCATGTTTCAAAACCATGATGAGGGCAAGTATTAAGCAAGTCTTGATACCTATCCCAACATTGGTAAAATGTTTCTCCTGGTTTTTGAGTGAAAGTGGTGATTTGTTTTTTGAAAGAGTTTGTTCTATGAGATGGGAAAAATTTCTTTAAAAACTGTTGTTGCATTTCATCTCAAGCACGAATGGATCCTGGTCTCAAATTTGGTAGCCATGTTTTAGCTTTATCTTTTAACAAAAAAGGAAAAAGCTTTCATCTAATGGTGTTCATGCTACAATTTAAATCATTATATATGTTGCAGAGCTCCTCAAATTCTCTTAAATGCAAGTATAGATTTTTCAATTCTAAGCCATGAAAAGAAAGTAAAAGTTGAATAATGTCTGGCTTAAAATAAAAATGAGATGCATCAGAAGGGAAAACTATGCATGATGGTGCACTTGTTCTTGTGGGATTCATGTGGTCTCTAAGTGTTCTAACACGGTTATTCTCATTTTTCTCATTATGAAGTGATTGATTATCTTCTTCAGCCATATTTTCTAAAAATGATGAGGATACCCTACAAAGTCTACCACTTAATGTATGTGACCATACTCTCATGCACGTGTAAGAATAAAATAAAAGGAAGAAGAAAATAAAAAAAGAAAAGACAAGAGAAAATGAACAAAGTTATATACAAGGAAAGTGAAAAGAGAAAATAAAATAAATACTATAATTTGTACAAGAACTTACCTCCCCGGCAACGGCGCCAAAAACTTGACACGACCAAAAGATTGATGTCTTCTCCCAAGTGGAGGAGTGTCGAAGTAATAAATAACCCGGCAAGACCGGAGTCGAACCATAGGGAGGTTAATTGTATAAATTATAGATGACAATAATACAACAACAATAACAACGACAACAACAACAACAACAACAACAATAATAATAATAATAATAATAATAAAGAAAAAGAAAGAGGAGGAGAAGAAGAAGAAGATGAGAACTTTGAGATGAAATATTAATGTAAGGATTAAACAATGATAAAATAAATGTCAAGGTTAGAGGTTCCACTAATGGTATGTCAAACAAGTATAGTATAAACTCTTATTATTTAATTGGAAACCACAAACAAAGGAGGTTCCAATCAGATTATAGATTGTTAACATAATTACATTAGTCATCTTATTCGATTAATGCTAATACTTGTAAATATCATCAAGCATTCATGATTATAACTTATGTTAACAACAAATCAAGTTCTTTATGTTGACAACAAATCAAATTCCTCTAATAACAACGATATCGGCTGAATACTATGAAGGATCAAGTATTTGATATACCAAGTGCTATACAACACTAATATAGATTAATCATTTAACAAGCATGCTATTAAGAATTAATTAAAAAAAATAAGACATTTTAATAGCAAGTTGTTTAGGATATAAGCATTGAAGTCCATATTGAGTTTATATTATACTTATCCTAACACCATTAGTGAAACCTATTCCCCTTAACATGATAAACTTAACTAAACATTATAAAGAATAAAAATATAAATAAACAATATGCATACATAAACATGATATAAGTTAACTAAATATAAGAAAGAAAATGAAAAGCATGAACAAGAGATTAATGAAAGCAAAACTTAAGCATTACAAAAATATAAGGAGAGAGAGAAAAAACATGATCTTGATCTGAAAACCAAGATGTCTAAATGAATGGCAAATGCCTTCTCTTATAAGCTAAAATTTAGAACTATTTATTTGGTAATTGATTATTGATGTAGTAGCCAACTATTGATATAGTGGACTTGGTGGACAGCAGCACTCAAGCATTTTGGCGGAATGAAATGACATTGATGCAATCATAATTTGGCAAAGTGTTCTACATGAAATTTATTGGAAATTATTTTACCCTTCGACCCATTAAAGTTCAGGGCATTTGAATCACTACAACTCATGATATGTCTAAAATACTGAGTAGTGCTTTTAGTGGATGTGGTGGATAGCCCTCAAGCTCTTGTCTAGATGAAATGTCATTGCTAACATCACCTTTTAGTCGTGTCACCTTCTTCATAAAAGTTGTTGGAAATTATCTTTTCCTTACACCCACCAAATTTCATGTCATTTTTCCTTCTAGAAATCCAACGATGGATAAAATTCTTAGCAGTGTTTAAGTTGGATTACAAGACAGATTCTGACTTTTCTTTTATGACCAAACTTTGAATTTGAACATAGAAGATTTAGGTCTTTCACTATTTATGAACATTGTAGGCCTATTTCTTAGCTTTCTAGCCATATAAACCAAATTGCAATCCAAGATCTATAGCTCCAAATAGGGGTGATCATTTTTTGTTCGGTTCGGTTTTTAACTATAAAAAACAACCAAACCAATTTTTGTTTTTTTGAAAAAAACAACCAAAACCGAACTAAAACCAAGTTAAACCGACCGGTTTTGGTCCCGTCTAGTTCGGTTCTTGATTTCAAAAAACCAAGAAAACCTATATGCTCATATTTCTCCTCAAACTCGCTAGTAAGATGCCTTTTCACAACTATTGTTTTCCCTGCATTGTGCAATCGAATTAAAAGCCAAATATCAATACCACTGGTTTCATCCCAAATCTAAAACTCTACTATAAATCAAAACCCTAAATTTCCAGGCACTGGAAATCCGGACTTCCATAGAAGTCATTAAAACTGAGCCTTACATTATTCAACACAAAATGCAGAATCATGAAGCAAGCAAAGCAATTATATCATTAGATTGTTGCCTCAAATGTATACGGGAAACAAATTGAAAGATATCCATCCTACTCACATAAACAAATCTTCCCATGGTTTATTAGAAAGACTACTAACAATAACATTTCGTTTGTGGTGTTGGTTGGGGTTCTTATGGTTTACTGAGGATGGTGGTCTCTGCAATCATGTAAGTCAAAACATATGGATCCATTTTTAAAGCAACCCTTCTAAGTCTAGGGGGAGGGAAAGGGAGACAAAGAGGGAGAGGGAGACAAAGAGGGAGAGAGGGTTGCGGCTAGGGTTACTGGAGAGAAAGAGTGAGAGGGAGAGAGAGAGAAAGAGTGAGAGGGGGTTGCGGCTAGGGTTACTAAGGGGGGAGGGGATAATTTTTTCTTTTTACAGTGCCTTTTTTTGAACCGGTTCGGTTCGGTCTGGGTTAACCGATTCCTGCATTACAAAACCTAAAATCGAACCGAATCGGGATTTTTTCTAACTATTATAATCGGTTTTTTTCTCGGTTCAGTTTTTTCGGTTAATTTTTTCTTGGTTTTCTCGGTTTATTTGGTTTTTCTGGTTTTTTTGCACACCCCTAGTTTCGATATGACCCAATGATTGAACAGTGTTTGAATTTGAATTGAATCGGCATCTCCTTTCTAAGCTTAACATTTTCTTTATCCTTTCACTTTTAATAGTGAATCATGACACGACGAAAAGGTTGATGTCTTTTCCCAAGTGCAGGAGTGTCGAAGTAATAAATAACCCGGCAAGACCGGGGTCGAACCATAGGGAGGTTATTTGTACAAATTATAAATAACAACAATACAACAACAATAATAATAACAATAACAATAATAATAATAATAATAATAATAATAATAATAATAGTAGTAGTAGTAGTAGTAGTAGTAGTA